ATCTTGGAGTTGCACCTGGTTAGTATTATATCGAGGAGTAACTATTGTCTTACCGATGTGAGTTATCGGTAACCTTGAGTTGTCAGCTGTCACCACCACACGACCTCCATTGTACTCAGACAGGTTTTGTAACTTCTGTTTGTCACCCGTCATATGATTTGAGCAGCCAGAATCTACGATCCAATCATTCTTGTAGTCAATCCGTTCTGGTGTTGTTACCGTGAGAGCTAATTCTTCTTCCTCCGTAGCAAATAACGCTTCAGCATCCCAACCATCTTCACTATTCTCCTTCGAACAAGAAGTAGCAGTATTACTTTCAACAGGCTTTTTCTTGGTCCAACAGTCTTTTTCCATGTGGCCCAACTTCCCACAATTGTAACACTTGCCATCGAACTTTCTACTATTACCGCGATTCTTGGAAGCTCCCCCTGAATGAGGGCCTCCATTTCCTTGGTAATTTTTCACCTTGTCACCATCCTTTTTAGATCCATTGCCAGTATACCGCTGAAAAGTGCCTCTGCTTTTACTGGTGTAGAGCGCTTCCTCTTCACCCTTCAGCGAGACTCCTCCCATTTGCTTGGCCATGGCTTCTTGACCTGCAAGCAAATTTTTGAACTCAACAAGCGATGGTTGAGTCGGCCATCCCTGTACAGCGGCAACAAACCCTCGATATTCGGGTCTCAAACCATGGACAATTATTCTTTTTATCCTGGCTTCCCCAATAGCAGCTGTCGGATCTAATTCTGAAATTTCACGGCATATCGACTTCACCTTGTGAAAGTATTGGGCAACCGCCATGTCGCGTTGCGCCATTGATAGAAGTTCATTCTCAAGAAGTTGCAATTTTGTATCGTTCCTCTTTGAAAAGAGTGTAACAAAAGTGTCCCATGCTTCCTTTGGTGTTTTAGCATCCCGGATGTGCTCCATTTCTTCTTCAATTGTGGTCTTTAAAGCAAACATTGCTTTGCCTGCTTTAATTTTCCACTTTCGCAAGATTCCATTGGCATCTTCTGTCGCCGGTTGTGTAACTTCACCACCACCGACAACCTCCCAAAGGTCTTGACCTTGTAAGTATGACTCCATACATGTTGCCCACGTGTTGTTTTTGTTGTTGAGCTTCTTGATTCCTCCAACTACTTGAAGATCACCCATCTTAACGGCAAGGCTTTGACTACACCGAACAAGCTTGAGTAACAAACGTGCAGAGTACTAAATTACTCTAAACACAAAGAAGCTCCACAAGGTTTGTAATAACCTCGACAATAACTCAAGAAATATTTTCTGATGTGGAAGATCAGTTAAAAACTGCAGCCACAGAGCATACTCAGAATTTCAAGAGATCTTTAAAACGTGGCTCGGATACCAATTGTAGAATCAAAATAGAGTAAAAACTCTAATTGATCGAGAAGAAAAAAAAAACTCTCTTTAGAATAATCTCACAAAATTGCTAAAGGGAAGAACTCTTAAGAAAGCTTTCAAATGCTTATAATTAAGCTTTGATTGTTGGATGATAAAACTCAAATACAAGTAGGGTATTTATAGGTTACAAGAAACAATCTAAACCACTCATTAAAATAAACACTAAATAATCTAAACCATTGAAATTAAAACATGAGAAAAATACTTAATTTTCACCTAACTAAATTGATGTAAGCAATGACATCAAAACTAAATTGATGTAAGCAATGACATCAAATTAATTTAGGTGTGAACATTTAGGCTAATATTGAATTTTCAACAGGGACTACAGATCGAACATCCCAATGGCATTTGTTCTGGTGTTGCCGGATGTCTCTGAAATGTAAACTTATTGAGCAAATCTGAATATCCCAGTGAAGTTAATGGAGCAAATTTTGACAGATAAAATGTGACAAGTGCTGAAAGCTAAGGCCCCTGGTCCTAGAAAGTCTAACTCAAGTTTTTTAGGGGAACAGCAGGTAGCTGAAGATAATCTATCAACGGGTGTTTTTCCCCCCCTTGAGCTTATCGAACAAAATTGTTTTGTACCATGGCAGCATTATCTTCTAGAAGATAGCGAATGAGTTTACCTCAATTCTGAGTTATTCTTTAATTATGCGAAGATCACTTCTGCCTTACATGTAAGATACCATGATTTGAATCACTAATAGGAAGTATATTGCCGTGAGATTCGAGATGAGAAGCAACTAAACCAGAGAGATGACAAAAGAACCAAGTTAGCCCTCGACATATATTCACCTACCATAATCTCCACATTTTTCCTGGTACCACAATGAAAATCAGCATCATAAAAACTGATCACCAGATGCAGAGAAGTACCAGAAGAGCTCTACACAATATGAACACCATGGCATCGGCATTGGTCATGCTTTCACTCTACCTAGTGTTAAACGTATAAAAGTACTATATTTTCTACCTTTTACCCATAATTATTGCTAGATTTAGGTTCGGTCTAGTTGCATTATTAGTTATTCATTCATGATTTCATAGTTTACTTCACAGTTAAGTTGGATATTACATTTTGGTTGGTTTTTCTCGAAAAAATACTGTTGGTGTGTGTTAATTTGTGTAGATTAAGAATTTCCCTAACAAGTAGAAAATTTCATGGTATTTGAAGATAATCATGGCACAAGGAGATAAATTCAAAAAAGTTGGGATATTCACGCAGAAATTGAGGAGGTAAAGAAGTTTTATTTACAAAAGATTTGAAGATAAAGATCTCTTTTAATTACTCTTTTATTAAAAGAGATTTATTCTCTTTTATTAGAATAGATTTATTAGTTCTTTTAGTCCAATTAAAACTCTCATTACATAATCCTCTCCTATAAAAGAAGACCAAAACCCAACAAAAGAGGGGAGACTAGAGAGATAAAAGCGGAGTGCAATCTTCTTCTTTATTTCTTTTTCTTTTCTATTCATGTTATTGAAGAATCTTTATCTTGTATTTCTTTTCCACCCAGCCATAAACTAAATTTAATTGGCTTGTTGTTCGGATTTTTTTATTGTGAAAGCTTTTTGGATTAGTCTGAATTCTTGATTGTCTTTTTAATTTAAAGTTTGTTCATTCTCTATTATTTAATTGATTTCGAGTTAATTGGGAGAGGATCTCGATTTAAATTCAAGAAACGAATGAGTATGATCTTTATTTGAACAAACGTTGGTGAAGGTTAATCTATATTAGAAATAAGATTTGGATTTCAACGGCTAAAAGGAGCGCAAGATATTACAGCTTGCGAGGACTGCACATGTTGCTCTTGATGTGTTGTGGATTGCGTAGGCATCTTCAATATTTCACAAATGAGTTCAAATAAATGAAATGCATGTTGCTTTATCGAAATATATTAAACCGAAGAAATCTCCAAGACAACCTGGGAAGATGTTGATCCCTGTGCTTGTGCATCAGCAATTTTAGCTAGATACATTAGGTTCCGCTGCAGCTGTGCCTTGATACCTGAATCATTTTCTTTATGAAATGAGAGCAGATACCGTAGTTTACAGTTCTGATTAACTGACTGTATTACTCAAAAAGACTTAAATATACAGATCTAACCCTAGTTCTTCCACCATGGTGGTCACTGTTCTTCAGTTCCTTAAATTATAGGCAAACCACGGTAAACAATCATTCATCTCATCTTTAAAATATAGGATGACCAAGTGTTAAATGGAATGTATATGTTGTTTTGCAAACATGAAAAGGCCTACAAGTTGAGCGCTAAATTAGCACTGAATTATTAGCTGGAAAAAAAACTAGCACTGAATTGCACATACAACTTAAGAAACTAAATTACCAAAGAAAAATATTTATGCTCACTCTCAAAGATTAGCCAACCAATAGATGGCCAATTAAATACACAAACTTTCCAGTTACAGGTGAAATGCAAGAAAATACAGGAGAAACTATGAAGTACAAAAAAGGGCTTATAATAATTGGTATAATGCTGTAAATAATGGGTGAATGACATTGATCTAAACATTCAGCTCAATGGAAAAAAACTGGATAGCAATTGGTATGTGTGAGTAAAGAATAGGAGCATGGACTGATGCATGATTTTTTGTTGAGGACAAACTTATAAAATTTGAGGAAGGAAGAACTTGTAAAATTTTAGGAAGCAAAAACAGATTCACAAAAGAAAATAAAATTTTCAAGGGCAACTGCCCCACCTGCCCTTTCGTCTATCCTTGAATAGGAGGAAGGATTTCAAAGGAAGGGTCACTCAGGAAGCAATCTCAGCCAGCTTTCCCTGGTTTTGGTTCTCCATTATTGCCATAATGAACTCTTTATTCTCCTCAAGGTACTAGAAGAAACATCAATCATTATCATATCAATATTCACAGAAAATTGATACAATTTTTCCCCCAACAAACAAAAATATACTTATAAAATCAACAGTTCAAAGCTGTTTTAACTTGTGAAAGAGAGAAAACAAATGATGTGATTGTGAAACTGTAGTAAAAATTATTAGGAACGCCAAGAATCCAAAAGAATTTTAACTTGATTACAAATGATACATACACAAAACAATGCATGCAAAACCCAACAAATTTCGAGTTAACCAAAATGTAAAAATATATATAATGAACAATGCTGTAAAGATCAAAAAACCTTTTGAATCTGCTCAGTGGTGATGTTCATCAACTGTGGAGGCTTCTAATACTTTATTCAGTGGTATAAGAAACAATGTTAACACCAAATGCGTTATTTATGAGAAATGATCCTAACATTTGACACTCCCATTTAGACTCATTCCAATGAGTTGCAATTCCCTCATGTGATGTGAAATAGATGAACTACTAAAAGAAAAGCAAGTGATGGAGAATTTACCTATGTTTTTACTGAGCAGAATACTCATAAAAAAGGGATAGCTTTTTCCCCTGTTTGTTGGTTGGATTGGTTTGGTGTCTTCAGTTATGTTGTGAGCTTATATTTTGCATTTTCCCCTTTGTTTCAAGCTGACAAGTGTTCATGAGCCCCTGGATAGGATTATCTCTGCTCTGGAAAATTTAAAACAAGATGGAACTTCACATGTGGAAGCAACAAAGTATAATGTTTCCTAACGATGACATCGGTTCTTTCCTTTCTTCCCTCGGACCTCTCATGATAAACAAATATCCATAGCTGAAGTTTTATGTATACTGAAGATACTCATTTTTTTCATTTGAATATTATTTATATTATTATTATTAATATTATTATAATTATTATATATATATATATATATATATTATTATTATATATATTATTATTATTAAAAAATAATTACAAGCCCAAATCGAAGGCCCAACCAGAACCGGCCCAGACCCAAAAGAAAACCCTAAACCAATTTAGGGTTTCAGCTAGGGTTTCTAAACCCTAGCACTCCAGTCGCCTCTGATGATTCCAGAAGGCCAGCCGCCGCCTCTGCCAGGTGGTCCAACGTCCAGCTGTCGACACTCCTGTGCCACGCGGTCGTCGCCGTTTCCAAGAGCATTCCAGCCGCCCCTCGTCAAAGGCTCCAGAAGACCCAGATGGCCACCTATGTTGCTACTCTAGGGGTGAGTCACCACATAGTTCGGTGACTCACCGAAATCAACCTTTTACCCGGTCCGAGACAAGCGCCGGTGATGGCTATAAAGCCATCGACCACCTGCAAACAAGGGGACATCGAACAACAACAAAAAATCACTACAACAGCAACCCAAGAGAAAAACAGAAAGCAAAAAAAGAAAAAGAAAAGAAAAGAAGATACAGAGAGCAACCCAGCAACCATAATAGCAAGGAAAATACGAGGGACACTTACCAACAAAGCCCCGCCGTCGCCGGAGTTCACTCGAGCCTCCAAACATCACCAAAGGTCTACGAAAACCCGAAGGTATTTTCATAGATTTGCTCCGATCAGGAGTGTTTTAAGAGAAACGGTCATCGGAACCATCAATAGGATGGTCCGATCTGTATTTTGGTGTAAAAAAAAAATTTCGGCCACCGGATGCAGTGGCCGGTGGCTAAGTCAACACCGGCGAACGGCTGCCGGCCGGTGCCGCTTCTCTCAATTTTCGAGAGAAATGATATTTCTCTTCTCTAGAGAGAGGAGAGAAATGAGAGAGCTGGCCCGAAGGGCCAGCCATTTCGGGTATAAATACCCCTTCCCAAACGACGTCGTTTTGGGAGGGGTATATCTGTAATTTCGTGCATGGCCAAACCCTTTCCGCAGCCATCCTAGTTTGTAATCCTTACATTTTAGTCACTAAATCAATTTATAATCCTTTTAATCCGGTTTAATAACTTTAATTTTATTTATTTTAGTCCTTTGCATAATAATAGATATTTTAAGTAAATAACCAATTTAGTCCTCGTAACTTTATTAATTAATATTTTAAACCCTGAATAACATGTTTTAATTTCTTTTAATTTGACATTCGAATTTAATATAATTTTATTTTAGTCCGTAAATTAATAAATGAGTAAAATAACATGTTTAATCCCTGTAATTTTAAATAATTAATTATGAATTAGGTTATAATTTAGTCACTAATTTCAATTTTTATTTATTTTTTACAAGTTTTATATATAGTTTTAATTTTATTTATTGTTTAGTTATATGTTAATATGTTTAATTTTAATTATTATTACTATTATTATTATTATTATTATTATTATTATTTAGCCATAAATATATATATTTATATAATAAATAATATTTATTTTATTTATTAAAATCTTATTTAATTATTTTTAACTTATTTTAATCCTGTTTTAATATTTATTTATTTTTCAATATTAAGAAATGGCAGTCTTAAAATAACTGGATGTCCATTTTCTGATATTTTTAAATAAATAAATATCCTATTTTATAAATTATATATTAATTGTTTTAATTATTTATTTATTTTTTAATATCGAAGAAAAGAGCTGTCTTAAGGCACCTAGAAGTTCTTTTCTGATATTTCTAAATAAATAAATATTTTATTTACAAATATATATAAATTAATATTTTTTTCATAATTATAAAATAATAGGATCATAAATTAAATATATTTTGAATTTTTAAATTTCTAATAATAAGAGACAATTTATAATTAAAAAGTACCAATTTTGGGCATTGTAGGGGTGCTAATCCTTCCCTAAACGTAACCGACCACGAATCCCTTTTTATTATTAAAAAAAGAATTTTTGGTTAAAACGCAGATCAGTTTATCTTTTAATCGATGTTTTCTTAAAAACTCTTTTAAAGGATGATTTTTAGGTATTCGACCTACCTGACCCAAAAGGCCGATGGCAACTCCCAAATTATTTTTTAAAAAAAAACCATTTATTCCCATCACTTTTCCCGCCAAGTAAAAAATTCGTGCCCGGACGAAAACCGGTTACGACAGCTTGGCGACTCCGCTGGGGACTTTTCAAGCTTTTAAAATCAATTATAAATTGTCTCTATTAATTATAAATTAAAAAATTTATATATTTAATTTATAATTCTTTCTTTTCAAATTTTTTATATACTTATTATTTTTATAGTATTTATATATATTATTTCATTTTATTTGCAAGCATTTTATTTCATTATTTATTTTTCTGTTAGAGGTTTGAACATTTCTCCTCACACACAACACTTGCATTGCATAATATAAAGCTCTATAATTGAGTTTGTCCCTCTTAAGTGGGAGTGAAAGCGACGTCTTCGTGAGAATTTATTCTCCGTGTTAGACCTAGCAAGTAACTTTCGGGGTTCATATGCTCTATGTCTTCATGAGAATTTATTCTCCGTGTCAGGCATAGAGAAGTGTATCCCCTCGAATTGAACTTGAACCACTTTAGTCTGTGATGGACTAGGATTGAGGGTTAACAGCCCAAGGGGGCACTAACAAGGACAATTCGGGTACCTTTATTCTTAGATCTGAAACCCTGCATATAATAAACCCTAAAAACTCTTCCGATCTAAAGCCATGCCAAAATTTTGTCCAAAATAGGTGTACACACAGGAGAAATGAATTCTAACTTTTCTTTTAATTTATTTAATGAATAAATTGCATGTGAATTTAAATTATTTAAAGTATGAAGAAAGCATGTTTAAATAAAGATATTTAGGTAGACATTATTATTAAATTATTTTTCCTTATTATGTGAACTAATTCATTTTTTTTTGTTCTTTATTTCTTCTGTTTGCATAGCATCATACAGGATAAAAGGCATTGATCCTCGTGTTAATTGTCTCATTGGAAAACCTTCATCCATGGATAAAAAGTGTTCAAATCAAATAGTTCTAAACTCATACGTAAGACAGTGGGCTGAGGATTTACAAAGACAAGGGGGAGACAGTTTGCAGGATGACTATATATCTGAGTTAGCCAGCTATGCTCCTGTTTCGCTAAAAAGAAATGATATGCAAGATTTGCGAAGCATTTGGGAGAGTTGGGACTCAAACAAAAAGTTGCAGTTTTATCAGACTTACGGAGACATCTCATATTTGCTCTATGTTGAAGTTGATGAGGACTTACTTCGAGCCCTAATTCAATTCTGGAATCCAGGGACAATTGCTTCACTCTCAATAAGGAGGACTTGGTTCCTACTATTGAAGAGTACACAACTTTGCTACATATAGAAGGGGCTTTGGTGAATCGAATTTATTCAAGGTCAATTAAAACTCAACCTTTTCGAGTTAAATTAGCAAAGATTGCTGGAGTACGAGAGGAATGAGTGTCATCCCGTACAAAACAAAAGGGCGAAAGCGAAGGCATTGCTTGAACCAACATTAAAGAACTTATTCAGAGTCATCCAGACACTAAAGTACGATTCGATCTCTTTGCTCTGGGTATGTATGGTATGGTCATCTTCCCAAAAGTATTGGGATATATTGAAGCTGTAGTAGTAGATTTGTTTGAGCAGCTACCAAAAATGATTAATCCTGCATCTGCAATTCTAGCTGAGACTTTCAGATCATTAAACGCTTGTAGAAAGCTAGGAGGTGGACAATTCTCAGGGTGTACCCAATTGTTATATGTCTGGATCCGTAGCCATTTTTGGAGGACAGAAAAGGTTTCATACCGGCACTTTAATACGGACTACTCACCATTAAAAGAATTTCTGGAGCAAGAATGGCCGAAAGAAATTACGAAAGATATGTGGATTAATGCCTTTTGAAATCTGCAAAGCGATGACATTATTTGCTGAGCCCCGTGGCAAATCCAAAGGGAATTCTTTTACAAATGTGGTGATTACAACTGGGTAATGCTGCTCGGATTGTGGGGAGGAATTGGATATGCACCACTTCTGGTCATAAGACAGTATGAAGGTCGTCAATTTGTACCTGTCACTGCTGGATTACATTCGTCTGAGTTCGCATTCCATAGCAAAAATTATAAAAGAAATATCATGGATGCCTTTACAGCTTGGAAAACAACTTTTTGTATCCGAGCTAAAGCAACAAAAGAAATGTTAACTCCTGATTATGAGGAATGGAGATCTGTCAGGAAAAATGAAAATATCCCTCTACCAGACCAAAATGAGGATATCTCTATGGAAGATCGCATTAAGGTGGTTCCATCAGAGATTGAAATCCTGAGAGCTGAGTTTGAAGCAGAAAGAGAAGGTTGGTCAAGAGAATTAGAGCAAATGAGACGAGATAAAGCTATGTTAGGTGTTGACATTGACTTTCATTCATCACAATGTGCAATGTTGAGAGAAAACAAAGAAAAAGTTGATGGTGAATTCAGAACATTAAAGAAAAATTACCAGGAGTTATATAAATCCCGAAAAGCATCAGGACTGAGCTGATCAACAGTACAGATGACCAGAGAATTGAATATCGAGAAAAGTCGAGTTGAAGATCTGAAAGGAAAGAATAGCCGTCTACTCAAAAGCCTTGAGAAAGGAAAGCAGAAAATGGAAGATTTTGAGGTTGATAGAAGAGAGCGAATTATAAAACACAAAGCTGAACACCGCGAGATCATGAATGAAATGCAAAGAGAAAGGGACCGAGCCAAAGATTTAGAAGAGATGAAGAATGGCATCCTTGATAAATTTTAAGTGAGAAAAATATCATGTTCAAGGAATTTGAATCTGAAATAAACCATCTAATTATCGAACTTGAAGTCAAGGGCCAAAGGATTGAAGAGTTCAATGTTGAAAAAGAAAAATGGGAGCTGGAAAAAAAGAATTTCAACACCAAACTTGAGGTAGAGCAAGAAGTGGCTAGCAATTGGATGCAAAGATGCAGAAACAAGAATGTTCAAATCCATAAGCTTAATCAAAGGACGCAAAAGCACGAACAAAACTTGAAGAAGATCTGGATCAGTCTAGAAACAAAAACTCAGAGTTTAATGCTTACATTTTGCAACTTGAAGAGTCATTATTTCAAGAAAAGGTTCGTCTAGGACCTAGTGATCTTAAAGAAAGTAATGAGGAAAGTGCTTCACTGCGAAGACGCATTAGAGATCTTGAAAAAACTCTGCACAATTGTCAAGTCAGAATCACCGAGTTAGAGAAAACTCTCGAAGGAACTAATGAACAATGGCAAAAATCAATTGATTTCTATGTAGAAAGAAGTGAAGAAAGAAGCAATATGGTATTCGAGGCCATGGTACAAATGAGCGAAGTTGCTAGATATGTTGGGGAACTAGCTGTTGAAGCAAAAATAATTGAGCGTCACGTTGATCCAGTTTCTAAGTTCGAAAAGAATGTGTCATGGCTAATGAAAGAAATTATAGAGCTTAATAGGAAAGCTACGCCTTATCTGTAGTTATGAACTATTATAAAGAAACTTTTGTATGCCGATGAAAGTTGTTCTATGACAGTTAACTTTATGGGATCAATACCTTTTGCATACATGCATTTTGCATACATTCATTATTCATTGAATTATTTTCTTTATGTATAATTTTTATTATTAAGATAAAATTCATTAATTAAAATTTGAAACAATAATATCAAAAGATTTTTCAATCGCAGTTATTCTGGCCAAAAGAGAAATACAACTTCACTACGGTACTAGACAAGCTACTAAGAAAATTATGGAGGATAAAATACAACGTATTGAGGAACAACATAATAAAGAACAAGCAGAGATAAGAATGAAGCTAGATAAAATTGAAGTCAGTATTGCAAACTCACAAGACAGCATGATGCAGAAAATAGAAGACATGTTTAAAAAATAGGCTATCATTGGAAAAATGCATGAAAATCCTGTATCTTTCGACCAAGAACCTATGTATCCTCTGGGTTTCCCACCAGAACCAATTTATCACTCTGGTACTACACCTATACAAATCAATGCCCGCACATCAGCATTTCAAGAAGCCAAACCATATGAAAATCGACAAGTGGATCCTGCATCTTCAAGCAAAAATCCACTTATATCAGATGTGAAAATAGGGGATTTTAATGCTGAGCATCTAATCCCAGATTTGAATGAGCTGAATGAGAAAGAAAAAGTAAATGAAAAATTGACCAGACAGATCAGGAGCTTAGAAGAACGAATGAAATCCGTGGAAATAACTGAATTATTATATGGGTTTGACGCTAGTGAATTGAGTTTGGTTCCAGACCTAATCCTCCCCATCAAATTCAAAGTTCCCGAATTTGATAGATATGACGGTACCACATGCCCTTCATCCCACATTACTATGTTTTGTCACAGAATGGCAGGATATGTGAAAGATGAGAAATTATTAATTCACTGCTTTCAAGATAGTTTGACAGGACCAGCCTTAAAATGGTATACTCAATTTACCAAAGCCAACATTAGATCCTGGAAAGATTTGGCTAAGGCATTCCTAGAGCAGTACCGCCACGTAACAGACATGGTCCCTGATAGATAGACTCTCCAAAATTTGGAGAAAAAGAATAACGAAACATTCAGACAGTATGCTCAGAGATGGCGTGACACAGCAGCCCAAGTTCAACCACCTCTATCAGAAAAAGAGGTCACAGTAATGTTTGTCCATACGTTAAAAGCTCCTTATTTAAGTCATCTAATGGGGAATGTAACCAGAAATTTTGTAGATTTGGTCATTTCTGGAGAACTCATTGAAAATGTCTTGAAAAGTGGCAAAATTGAATCAAATGAGGGGTCTAGTTCCAAAAGACCTATGTACCAAAAAAAGGAGAATGAAGTCAACAATGCAAACTCTTACAACAAGGATTCGTCAAAAAAGTGTTACAAACACTAATCGAGTAGAGTCTAGAGGATCTCGAAAGGAAAATGAAAGGTTGTCTTTTACACCTTTACCAGTACCCTATGCTGAGATCTATGATTCGCTGTTAAAAGCAGATGTCATATGGCCCTATCCTTTGGTTCCCATGCAACCACCATTTCCTCCATGGTATGATGTAAAGGCACACTGTATTTACCATGAAGGAATTATGGGTCATTCTATTGAAAACTGTTTGGCATTCAAAAGGGTGGTTCAAAATTTGATCAACACTGGAAAGTTAGAATTCAATTCACCATCTACATCAAATCATCCGCTGCCAAATCATGGAGATAAAAACGTGAATGCAATTCAGGAAGAGAACAGAAAGAAAGCAAAAACTGACGTTTCTGAAATTAAATCTCCTTTTGTTTGGATATTTCAACAACTCTCCTTATCTGGTATAATTCCACAAGAATTCAGGCCAAAGCATAATGAAGGCAAGAATTATTGTGAATATCATCAAGAGAAGGGGCATGAAATTCAACTATGTCTTGAATTTAGGGATTTGGTGCAAAAATTGATGAATAACAGAGAGATAGAATTCTTTGAAGAAGAACCAAGGAAAAGAGAAGATGATGTTTGCTCATCAGAAGATTCTAAACCTAATCAGAGAACAAGTGATCCCGTGATTATTAATGTGAAATCATCTACAGTGATTCCAGCACCAACAAAGACGAAAGTAGTTATCACAACTCCTTTACCATTTCCATACAAGGATACCCGCAGGGTACCTTGGAATTATACTACCAATGTTTCAATGGTAGGAGAATCTATTTCTCTGAAAAAAATAGAAGAGAAAATACAGAGTCTGGATTCGACGTCTGAAGCAGTGAGTGAAGTCGGATTCTTTACAAGAAGTGGGAGATGTTACTCTCCCGAAACATCCAATGCATCAGAACAGGTGAAAGCAAAAGGAAAATCCATGATAATACCCCTAAAGGTATTTGATGATGAATCCCTTCCAGCATTCAATGAGCCTGTAATAGAAAAACAAGTGCAAGAATTTTTGAAATTCCTAAAACATATTGAATATAGTGTGGTTGAACAACTGCATAAACAACAAGTGTGAATTTCTATTCTTGATCTATTGATGAATTCAGAAGCACACAGAAATGATTTGATGAGAATGCTTAATCAAACCTTTATCCCTGAAGATATATCCCTCAATAAACTTGACAGAATTGTGGGACATATAGCCGCTGACAATTACATAACGTTCACGGATGATGAAATACCTGAAGGCGGAATGGGGTCAGTAAAAACTTTGAATATTACCACACATTGTCATGGTCATGTTTTTCCAGGAGTATTGATTGACAATGGATCTGCTCTTAACTTGATGCCTCTAGTCACACTTCAAAGAATGCCTGTGGATAAATCACGCATGAAAAGTTATCAGAATGTAGTGCGAGCTTTTGATGGCACTCAAAAATAGGTGCTTGGGAAAATGGAAATACCGTTGTTAATCGGACCAGTCGTGTACAATATTGACTTTGTGGTAATGGATATCCACCCTACATATAATTGTTTATTAGGGAGGCCATGGATTCATTCTGCAGGAGTTGTTCCTTCTTTATTACATCAGAAATTGAAATTCGTTGTTGATGGACAACTAATATGCGTAGGAGCTGAAGAAGAAATCATTGCGTCTATAACAAGTGATGTTTCGTATATTGAAACCAATGATGATGCTCTCGAATGCTCTTTCCGAGCTCTTGAATTTGTCAATGCAACCTTTATTGCAGAGGGAAGTAAAATTCCATATCTCAGATTGTCTGATTGCACCAAGATGACTGTACGACAGACTTTAGGCATCGGAGCTAAAACTGGGAAAGGTTTAGGAAAGAATCTTCAAGGGAGTTTAGTTCCTGTAAGTATGAAGATGAAGATGAAGAAAGATCGTTTTGGGCTTGTATTTAAGCCCAATTTTTAGCAAAAGAACAAAGAGATGAAAAGAAGATGTGAAGATAGAAAGGCAAGGTTGAAAGGAGAAGAAATCCTTTGGGAACATATGTTTTTCCCACAGTTGAAGACCACATCAGATCAGGGGGAACAATTAATGTAGAACAACAGTTTGTTAAGGCCTTTAAAGAAGAAAAGTTGACGAAAGATCAAAGCATAGTTGAAGAAGCTATGAAAGGATTATTTATCAACATGATCATGAATGACAACAAGACTGGCAAATACTTGGCTAGGATTCGCCCTTGTTTTCCTGGAGAAACACTCAACAATTGGACCGCTGAAGACCTTCCTGTAGTTTTTAATATTAACACAGAGTAATATTCAGAACTAATCTTTATGTTTATCCCAAGAGTACGAAAACTTTTTGTTATCTTGTAAAGGAAATTATGTTAAGTTCACCTAATATTAAATATAAGAAATTTTCTTTAAAATTTTCAAATGGCAATCATTCTTTACATTTTTTACATTTTTACATTCATTTATTTCATAAATTTACTATATTCTTTCGGAAATATGTCCGACTTAAATTTGCAGGTGTCACAATGTTAATAGCATGTTTATTCCTAAATTTAATCGAAAGATAAATTTAGAGCAGCTCATATATCTGGAGAAAATCAATGAGTGTGAGGATGAACTGGAATGTGATGTTCCTACTGAATTATTAAGATTGATAGAAAAAAGAAGATAAGCAAATTTTACCTCACAAAGAAGAGATTGAGACTGTAAATCTGGGAACAGATGAATAAATGAAGGAGGTAAAAATTGGTACTACTCTGACAATCCAGATAAAACAAGAATTGATAAATCTCCTTCAAGAGTTCAAAGATATCTTCGCCTGGTCTTATCAAGATATGCCTGGTTTGAGTACAGATATAGTGATGCACAAACTTCCAATCAATCCAAAATATAAACCAGTCCAATAAAAGCTCAGGCGAATGAGGCCAGAAATGTTGTTGCAGATCAAAGAGGAAGTGATGAAGCAGATTAATGCAGGTTTCCTACAGGCAGCCAAATACCCATAATGGGTAGCCAACATTGTTCCAGTACCAAAGAAAAATGGGAAAGTTCGAATGTGTGTGGATTACAGAGATCTCAACAAAGCTAGTCCGAAAGATAGCTTTTCATTACCCCACATAGATACCTTGGTGGACAATACTGTATGACATGCATGGTTTTCATTTATGGATGGCTTTTCAGGATATAATCAGATAAAAATGAATCCTGAAGACATGGAAAAAACAACATTTGTAACCATGTGGGGCACATTCTGCTATAAAGTAATGCCATTTGGATTGAAAAATGCAGGGGCAACGTATCAAAGAGCCATGGTAACTTTGTTTCATGACATGATGCACAAAGAGATTGAAGTATACGTGGATGACATGATTGCCAAATCCCGAACCGAAGAAGAACATATTCAAAATTTGAGAAAGCTTTTCCAGAGATTGAGGAAGTATCAATTAAAGCTCAACCCCGTTAAATGCAATTTTGGGTTAATTTCCGGGAAGCTTTTGGGATTTGTGGTCAGCAAAAAAGGAATCGAGATTGATCCAGATAAAGTAAAAGCAATTCAAGATCTTCCACCACCCAATACAAAAAAAGAAGTTCGAGGCTTTTTGGGAAGATTAAATTATATATCTCGGTTCATTTCTCAATTAACTGACAAATGTGATCCAGTGTTCAAATTACTTCAAAAGAACAATCATGAAGTCTGGAATGATGAATGTCAACAAACTTTGGATATTATTAAGAAATATTTATTCAATGCCCCCATTTTAGTATCACCAATGCCTGATAGACCATTAATTCTCTACTTGACAGTCTTTGAAAATTCGATGGGATGTGTATTGGGACAGCATGATGAATCTGGAAGAAAAGAAAAAGCCATTTATTATATGAGCAAAAAATTTACTGATTGTGAAATTCGATATCCACCAATACAAAAATTATGTTGTGCCTTGGTGTGGGCTACTCGAAGACTCAGACAATACATGTTATATCATACTACTTGGTTGATATCCAAACTTGATCCTTTGAAATTCTTAATGGAATCACCAGCTTTGACAGGCAGAATGGCTAGATGGAAGATGTTATTATCCGAGTTTGATATTGTATATGTCAACCAAAAAGCGATAAAAGGAAGTGTTATAGCTGATTTTCTGGCCAGCCGTATATCAGATGATTATCAGCCTTTGAGTTTTAATTTTCCAGATGAAGATTTGTTATGCATATCCATGAATGAAGAATTCATAACAAATGATGAATCTTGGAAGCTTTACTTTGATGGAGCATCCAACGCCTTGGGACGAGGAATCGGGGCACTGTTAATTTCTCCATAAAATATTTATTATCCCTTTACAAGTAGACTGGAGTTCTTTTGCACCAATAACATGACGGAATATGAAGCTTGTGTCATGGGATTGAAAGCAGCCATAGAAAGAAAAATTAAATGTCTCAAGATATATGGAGATTCATCGTTAGTGGTGTATCAATTACGAGGTGAATGGGAAACAAAAGATCCTAAATTGTTGGAATACCTAAATTTTACCTTCGAATTAGTGAAAGAATTTGAGAGAGTCACCTTCAATTATCTCCCTCGAGAAGAAAATCAAATGGAAGATGCTTTGGCTACATTAACTGCTATGTTCCAAGCAACTAAGAAAGTTGATATGATGCCAATCAAAATGCAAGTATATGAAATTCCTGCACATTGTTATAGTGTGGAAGAAGAGGTAGATGGTAAACCATGGTATTATGATATCCTGCAATATATCAAAAATCAAAGTTATCCACAAAATGCATCTAAAATTGATAAAAGAACCTTGAGAAGAATGGCTGCTGGATATTTTCTGGATGGCGAGACTATGTATAGAAGAAGCAATGATCAAATGCTATTGAGATGTTTAAATACTAGCGAAGCCAGAAGCATCATTGAAGAAGTACACAGTGGAATATGTGGAACACATGCAAATGGTCTTTCCATGGCTAGAAAAATAATGAGATATGGATATTATTGGGCTACCATGCACACAGATTGCATTGATTATGCAAGGAAATGTCATAAATGCCAGATATATGCAGATAAGATTCATGTACCCCCATCTCCTTTACATGTAATGACAGCACCCTGGCCATTTTCTATGTGGGGAATAGACGTCATTGGGGCAATCACACCAAAAGCATCGAATGGACATTGTTTCATCCTTGTGGCAATTGATTATTTTACCAAGTGGGTTGAAGCTGCTTCGTATGCCAATATTAAGAGGTCCACAGTCTGTAAATTTATAAAGAAAGAAATAATTTGCCGGTATGGCCTACCAGAAAGAATCATTACAGATAATGCTCTGAACCTGAATAACAAGATGATGACCGAACTTTGTGCACAGTTTAAGATCAAACATGCAAACTCAGTGGCATATCGTCCAAAAATGAATGGGGCAGTTGAAGCAGCAAATAAGAACATCAAGAGAATCATTACAAAGACCACTGAAACTTACAAAGATTGGCACGAGAAGTTACCTTTTGCTCTATATGCATATCGAACTATTGTTCGAACATCTACTTGGGGTAACGCCTTTTTCTTTAGTCTATGGGATGGAAGCAGTCTTACCAATTGAAGTTGAGATTCCATCGCTTTGAATTTTGAGAGAAACAAAATTCGATGAATCTGAATGGATCCAAGCTAGATTTGATCAGTTGAACATTATTGAAGAGAAAATATTGAAAGCTATTTGCCATGGACAGATGTATCATAACGGATGATGAAGTCTCATGACAAGAAAGTACATCCAAGAGAATTCCAAGAGGGTGATCTAGTACTAAAAAAGATCTTGCCTATACATAAATATTTCCGTGGGAAATGGATGCCTAATTGGGAAGGGTCATACGTTGTAAAAAAGGCCTTTTCCAGAGGAGCGTTGATTTTGGCAGAAATGGATGGAAAAATTCTGAGAAACCCAATAAACTCAGATTCTGTCAAGAAATATTATGCTTGAAGAAAAAATGAAAAAAAGAAGAAGAAGAAAAGAAAAAGAAAAAAAAGAAAAAAGAAAAAGAAAAAGAAAGAAAAGAAAGAAAAGAAAGAAAAAAAAGAGGGGGTCAAGATGAAAACCCGCAAAGGGCATCTTGTAACCAAATGAAGGATTTGAGTTGAAAACCTGAAAGGGCGGCTCAAATGCATGTTGATATTAGGCATCTGGCAATTGAACCCTCTTAAGAGTTTGATAGTTTGGGAGGAACTTCACATCTACAAGCATTCTGACAATGTTTGAGATCTTTCAGACAAAAGCTTACATCAGTACTCTAAATTATATCAATTTGATTAATTTAGAAATACTTATGCTAATAACTTGTTGAGTCATTTGAATTTTTATCATTCCTATGCTTACCATAACTTTGAATACAATTCTATCTATATATTAATAAATTCTAAGTTTATTTTATCTAAATTCAATTTATTTGAGATTCAATTTATTTTCGAAAATTCAACTTATTCTTTTTTTTTTTGTAAATGGATTAATATAATTTTGAAATAAGTTAAAGATTTCTGAATATCACTTTATGTTAATACTTTTAAGGTCATGGAAAACAAAGTAAATCTTATCAACGTTTGCAATCATTGTTAAAAAGCAAACAAATTATTACCATCATAGAGTTATTTGGAAGCGGAACAAGAAGAAATATGTTCTCAATTGGCAGATTATGAATATAGCCTTTTTATCATACAGCAGTACAAAAATGCTTCGAATCTACAAATTTTGGCTCTACATCATATAAGTACTGTGATGTTTTGGTCCAAAAACCAACTGAAGCAACCACCACATTATCATAGTATAAATAAGGAGACTCAATAGCATCTTCTGGAAGTGTTCTTTGAGTTATCTGATCTGGTTCGGTAAGAATTCCAAAACCAATCATTGGATTAGGAAGATGAACTGCATGATTGCCTTCATCAAGAAGCTTCTTTCTAAGCTACTTATGCTTCTTCTTTTTTAAGAAAATCATAGCCCAAGTTTCGCCTTTTCTTGTAATTGGGATCATTGCATAATGGCTTCTTATCTTTTACCGGAAGAAGTGTGTCAGCAACCTTAGCCATTTGAGCAGCACATATAAAATCTGTCAACTCTACAATTGATGAATCAGGATCACATCTCTATGACTATTGAAGACTTAGCATTTGAGTATCCCATTTTTGTAAAGTATAACAGTTTACTCTCCTCATCAGAACCAGAATTCAGGATTTCCTCGATATCAGAAGAACTATCAATATCTGTGAAATCATCTTGAAAGATCACTTCATAATTAGATGAGTAGTTATCAGAATCAACATGTTACATGAGTACAAACTTTTCAAGAGCCTGTGCCATTGAGTTTTGTTCTCAAGGGGTTTTTGACATTATATCTACATCTACATTTTTAAAAGATGATAGATTCTCCGATTTGAAGAAGAAAGATTTATTGAATTTCTACACAACTGAAGAAATACTAAGTTCACCAATTTGAAATCAAATAAAGATAAACTTAACATTCATGCATCATATTTAGGCATTTGCAAAAATAGGTGCATTTTCATTCATTTTATCCATGTTAAATTTTGACAGGAATTTCAAAGATTTTAGCAAAGATTTAAATCCATCATTTAATGGATCAACATTTTCAGTTAGAGTTCATAATGAGAAGAACTCATCTGAAGAAGAAAAAGAAGTTCATAATGAGAAGAACGTGTTCAACTTTTTTGCTTAAATTCATCCCTCGGTGGATCAGCAGTGCCAGTTAGAGTTCATAATGAGAAGAACTATCTGAAGAAGAAGAAGAAGTTCATAATGAGAAGAACTTGTTCAACTTTTTGCTTAAATTCATCCCTCGGTGGATCAGCAGTGCCAGTTAGAGTTCATAATGAGAAGAACTCATCTGAAGAAGAAGAAGAAGTTCATAATGAGAAGAACTTGTTCAATTTTTTGCTTAAATTCATCCCTCGGTGGATCAGCAGTGCCAGTTAGAGTTTATAATGAGAAGAACTCATGTGAAGAAGAAGAAGAAGTTCATAATGAGAAGAACTTGTTCAACTTTTTGCTTAAATTCATCACTCGGTGGATCAGCAGTGCCAATTAGAGTTCATAATGAAAAGAACTCATCTAAAAAAGAAGAAGATGTTCATAATGAGAATAACTTGTTCAACCTTTTGCTTAAATTCATCACTTGTTGGATCAACTTTTCTAGAAAAAGTTCATAATGAGAAGAACTCATCTGAAGAAGGAAGAAGAAATTTATAATGAGAAGAGATTATTCAACCTTTGCTAGATTACATCACAAAAGGAGATGAGTTGTCATCCCCGGTGGAAAAGTTCATAATGAGAAGAGCTAATCCCAAAGAAGAATTATTTCAACATTCCCATCATAATCAAGTAAAATCAAATGAAAAAAAAAACTTATTATCTTTTCGTCTTTACTCTATTCTTGTTAACACAAGAATAAACAAAGAGGGGCAGCTGAAGATACTCATTTTTTTCATTTGAATATTATTTATATTATAATAATTATTATTATAATTATTATTATTATTATTATTATTATATATATTATTATTAAAAAATAATTACAAGCCCAAATTGAAGACCTAACCAGAACCGACCCAGACCCAAAAAGAAACCCTAAACTAATTTAGGGTTTCAGCTAGGGTTTCTAAACCCTAGCACTCCAGCCGCCTCTGATGATTCCAGAAGGCCAACCGCCGCCTCTGCCAGGTGATCCAACGTCCAGCTGTCGACACTCCTGTGCCACGCGGTCGTCGCCGTTTCCAAGAGCATTCCAGCCGCCCCTCGTCGAAGGCTCCAGAAGACCCAGATGGCCACCTATGTTGCTGCTCTAGGGGTGAGTCACCACATAGTTCGGTGAATCACCGAAATCAACCCTTTTACCCAGTCCGAGACAAGCGCTGGTGATGGCTATAAAGCCATCGACCACCTGCAAACAAGGGGACATCGAACAACAAAAAAAATCACTACAACAGCAACCCAAGAGAAAAACAGAAAGCAAAAAAAGAAAAAGAAAAGAAGATACAGAGAGCAACCCAGCAACCATAATAGCAAGAAAAATACGAGGGAGACTTACCAACAAAGCCCCGCCGTCGCCGGAGTTCACTCGAGCCTCCAAACATCACCAAAGGTCTACGAAAACCCGAAGGTATTTTCGTAGATTTGCTCCGATCGAGAGTGTTTTAAGAGAAACGGTCATCGGAACCATCAATAGGATGGTCTGATCTGTATTTTGGTGTAAAAAAAAATTTTTCCGGCCACCGGATGCGGTGGCAGAGTCAACACCGGCGAACGGCTGCCAGCCGGTGCCGCTTCTCTCAGTTTTAGAGAGAAGCGAGAGAAATGATATTTCTCTTCTCTAGAGAGAGGAGAGAAATGAGAGAGCTGGCCCGAAGGGCCAGCCATTTCGGGTATAAATACCCCTTCCCAAACGACGCCGTTTTGGGAGGGGTATATCTGTAATTTCGTGCATGGCCAAACCCTTTCCGCAGCCATCCTAGTTTGTAATCCTTACATTTTAGTCACTAAATCAATTTATAATCCTTTTAATCCGGTTTAATAACTTTAATTTTATTTATTTTAGTCATTTGCATAATAATAGATATTTTAAGTAAATAACCAATTTAGTCCTCGTAACTTTATTAATTAATATTTTAAACCCTGAATAACATGTTTTAATTTCTTTTAATTTGACATTCGAATTTAATATAATTTTATTTTAGTCCATAAATTAATAAATGAGTAAAATAACATGTTTAATCCCTGTAATTTTAAATAATTAATTATGAATTAGGTTATAATTTAGTCACTAATTTCAATTTTTATTTATTTTTTACAAGTTTTATATATAGTTTTAATTTTATTTATTGTTTAGTTATATGTTAATATGTTTAATTTTAATTATTATTATATTATTTATTATTATTATTTAGCCATAATATATTTTATAATAAAATAATATTTATTTTATTTATTAAAATCTTATTTAATTATTTTTAACTTATTTTAATCATGTTTTAATATTTATTTATTTTTCAATATTAAGAAAGGGCAGTCTTAAAATAACTGGATGTCCATTTTTTGATATTTTTAAATAAATAAATATCGAAGAAAAGAGCTGTCTTAAGGCACCTAGAAATTCTTTTCTGATATTTCTAAATAAATAAATATTTTATTTACAAATATATATAAATAAATATTTTTTTCATAATTATAAAATAATAGGATCATAAATTAAATATATTTTGAATTTTTAAATTTCTAATAATAAGAGACAATTTATAATTAAAAAGTATCAATTGGGCGTTGTAGGGGTGCTAATCCTTCCCTAAACGTAACCGACCACGAATCCCTTTTTATTATTAAAAAGAAAGAATTTTTTGTTAACACGCAGATCAATTTATCTTTTAATCAATGTTTTCTTAAAAACTCTTTTAAAAGATGATTTTTAGGTATTCGACCTACCTGACCCAAAAGGCCGATGGCGACTCCCAAATTATTTAAAAAAAACCATTTATTCCCATCATTTTTCCCGCCAAATAAAAAATTCGTGCCCGGACGAAAACCGGTTACGAAATATACTTTTCGGAATACTCAGTCAGTTGATATGATTCGATTTGCTTCATTTGTTCGGTTTTTCTGTAATGGATGGGATAGCGATTAAGTTCTGAAGTTTAAGTGAATTCAGTCTGTAGTTAAGTTGATTGATCGTTGTGCTTTATCTTACCAGTTATTAGTTGAAATAAAGATTAAATTTTCAAATAAATATCAGTACACGAACTTGTGAGACGCTGTCACAATTGATTCCCATCATCTACATTCAGTTCTAGGCCTAGCTTTTGTGATTGGAATGAAGTTTACAAGCAGCATTGCCTTACTTCTTTTTCACCTTAAAACAGTGATGCTTTCGTTTGGTTTACCTCAACCACTTCTTAACATCATTCGTTGAAGGTGGAAAGATTTCTTCCCCAAGACTATGTGCATAACAAGAAGACAAGCTAGGTTTGTGCTCCGAGTTATAATCATGAACATGATCATTGCACCCTTTAACACCACATTGGTCCGGGACTGGAAACGACAGGCGTTCCTTGACACATCTTACTTTCTCCTTCGCCGACTGCCTCTGCTTCGGTGCACTTTGGGACCGGAACCGAGCCTTAGCAGATACCGTAGCTGCCATATAGTTTGGAATTCCATGGATAGCTGGTGGTTCTGAGTTTGGTGCATGAGCTGGTGGTGGTTGGCTCTTCTTTGAGGTTAGCTGAGTACATTTGGAGAGGCTTTGGTTTTGATGGTGTGATTGAGCCAGTGGGGAGACGGGAGGCAATGCAAAATGAACTAGGCCTCCGTTGTTGGTCGGCGTAAGGCCAAGTGGTATCGATTTCAATAGTTTTTATGTGATCTATGTGGTCACACGACATCCGACCTGCACGACTATCCCATTGCTTCCTTGTCGGCCTCCACCGATCAACCCCTTTGGTTTTCCCCTCTTCTTCCTCACTTTGAGTTCTCCAAATCTTTTTTTTTCCATGAAACATGCATATATAAAATGATTTCATCAATTATGTTTCTAAATCCAGCAAACAACATAGTTCAGAGATGGAAACATCATTTAACCTGGTGAGAGAAGGTATGAGCAAGATCGTTTTCACGTTTCGAGGTAGCTTCCTTTTTGTTCTTCACAATGGCTTGAATCTCCTGCAGTGTTTTCGGGTGTATCCAATCATACACATTGCAGCTCTCTTCCCTACACTGCAATCAACTTACAAGGCCATTTAATAAACTGAACACAAAGTGTCCATTCGAAGCTTAAGTCATCTTTAAGAAAAGTAGTATTTACAGTGGTTTTGTTGGGGTCACTAAACGCGGATTCTGTGCTTGCTTCATGCGCCTAAATGTATTATTCGTTCGCTTTCGAACATTGTGGCCTCTCACCAAGGCTTGAAGCTTCATCAGCCCCTTTAGTGCCCGAAGAGCTCTCCTTGCCTGCAAAAACGCTAGTGGTTATCCCAAACATGAACTATATTCACTTGGTTACAGCCAGAAAAACAAACAATATTTATTCACCAGATGTCCTCTTAAAGCTGTCTGTATAACAATGGCGGAAAAATGTCGCCGTGTGACGAAAACGGAAGGCTGAGTGAGTTGAACGACTGGAACGGCTGCCTGTGCTGTGGCTACTGCTGCTTGAGCAGCTGCTGTTGTGCCAATGGCATGTCTTTGCTCAGCTTCGCCTCCTTCAGGGATGGTGACCTCTTTAGCACTACTTGTAGTAGTAGTAGTAGTTATATTCTTTGCTTCATTGTGATGTATTATTGTTTCATTTTGTGAAGGCTTCTTAAAAATCCATCTTCGTTTTCCTCTTTTCTGCACAAAATCACCGAGAAAAAGTGGGGGAAATAGATTTAAAGTTGATGGCATGCAACAGAATTAAAGCAAAAATGTTGAGAAATGAAGAACCTTCTCTTCCTCCTCTTGTTCGTTTTCTTCTCTCTTCCTAGAGCTATTCTCCTTGTTTTCCTTGTTAGGTGACCTAAAAGCCTTCTTCACTGCAGCCAACCAAGAGTTTCCTCCAATCTTCCCCATGAAAGATGGATTTCGCACGAAAAGCAAAGCTTAAACTAAACCAACTATATAATATATAACAAAAGACTAATGGTGATTTATACATATGGCATGGGAGCCTCAGTCTCCGGTCTGCATATGTAGTTAGTATCTTTAAATGCAAAAGGCTACGGGAGTATAAACTACAATCCGTCAATATAAGGTTAAAAAAGTCGTAATCGTTTACAATCGAAAAATTTGTCAAGTGTCTAACTTTTTAGAGTGAATTACGTAACATTTTAGGCTGAAACCAAATCATTACATTATCGATAACAATCATATAAGAAATTCATGTAACATCTTAGAACGAACATGGTAAAAAAATCATATAAATTATATAACTATTTTGGTCGGAGCCTAAAATATTACCATCAAGAAATTCATGTAATATTCTCGATTGTATATTATTAATTGTATAATTTTTTAGAATAGACAAAGTAACATTTTAAGTTAATGTAATTATAATTTATGTAACTTTTTAGACCTGATAGGATAATATTTTAGATTAAAGCCCCTTAATTTCCCCCACCGCACAACAGAACTACCGAGGGGTAGAGATCTAAATGAAAAAGAAAGAAACAAAATTTGGGTTTTGTGTGCAAAGTGACATAGTGATAGTTAGTCCTTCCATTTGGGAGCCGACACCATTGCATTATAGTTAAGCTGTGTAAGGTTACACAATAATGCTAAAAGAGATGGTGTCCCTTTTTGTGACTTGTATTAGCATTCCCTAAACAGGTAATTGAACTCTCATTTGAATTAATAACATAATGTCAATGATGAGAATTAGTGATATTACATGGGACAAAAGGACTTGGAGATCTGATTGGATAGACCAGTCAAAACCATGAGTTCAATGTTATTAATTAGGACAGCATTGGGATTCAGTTTTGGTGAATGCAGAAAATATATGGTTCTGGCGCTGTATGAGGCTTTTGATTTTCCTTGGATTCTGCAGATTGGTGGTCCAGCCTCTGCCTCTGCCTTCCCTACAGATACAAGCACACTAATTTCACGATAGCTGCCATTGCCAGCCACTTGTTGGTACACGCAGATTGTAACATCATAGTGAATCATACATGTCGTCTATCCTAAAATGACTTGGATCTTTAATATGGTAATGTCCTTTTACTTGGAAACATTTTTCCTTAATCAAAATCAGCGTGCAGGCAACCTATTTGGAATGAGGTAATTAAGAGTTGCATTATCCCCAAAATCTTTTTCTTTTCCTTTTAAACTGATTTCTCTTTTCTCTTACGAGTTTGAAGGATTTTAGAGGGTTTTTTAGTTTTGCTTTTCTTTTCTTTTCATATCATTGTGTTGTCTGTCTTATTTTTCTCAGCCTTTTAACTAAAGGATAGGACTAGATTCTTTAACGGAAGAAGAAGAAAAAGGAAAATCTGGCAGAGTTGAGCACTTTGGTTGTACTACTTCCGAGAGAATCTAACTCAAGCAACGACCTATACGTGGGAAAGGAAAGGTTAAACTACATGTTTAGTACCCGACTATCATTTTTATCCCATTTGTCACTTAACTATTATTTTTTTCAAAAGTATATCTAACGTTACATTTTAGTTTCATTTTGGTCGTTCCCATTAAAAAAAACTAACAAGACTGCTGATGTAGTAATTTTAATTTTTTTTAATGATGACATGACGTTACCTTATGGTGACACATCAACATTACTGTTAACTTTTTTAATGTTGGGAAATCAAAATGAAACCAAAATATAACATTAGATATAATTTTGAAACAAAAAGTAATTAGATGACTAAAACAAAAAAAGTAATAGTTGGACACTAAACATGTAATTTACCCCAAAAATGTACACACAGGTACACAACATTTGAAGATCCCTCCCTAAACTTCTTCTATTTTCTGTTTATATATGGACATTTACAATTCAAGTTCCTAATTTATCTGCCAAAAAAATAATGTTTCTAACTTTATATCCATCCTCCAAGCTCAACACCCAAAAAAAAGTAATGTTATAAATCTCGTTTTAAAAATCTTATTGTAAAAAGCTTGGTATACAATGCAACGCAGGTGCAGCAGTTGAAAAAGTCACTGGTATGCAAGGATGTGCATTTACACAAAGTTTGTCACACCCTAAATCTGATTGGGCCTAAAGTGACACATCTTTTTCAGACATTCTGAATGGTATCATAATAAAACATAAATAATTGTTATAAAACATTTTACAAAAGTAGGAGTTCCGTGACACATAATTTAAAATCAAAATAATACAAACTCTGAGTTTAATAAACTGAATACATAAGTCAGGTTCTATGAATACATATGCCCACTAAGCTACAGTAAAGTACTCTGAAGGAGATACTATAAGTCCTGCTACGACGGTGCTCCATGAACTGCTCATACTACTAACATGCCAACGAAAGGCTGGGCTTACAAAGCCCAGCAGTATAATCGCTAATATAGAGGAGCATAAGAATTTCATAAACACAAGCATGCTAAAGACACTAAGCATTAGATACATGAATGATCTAGATCAAGTGCTACCTACTTAAGACTTGGTTGTCCTATCACTGAAGTAGGGGTCTCATATATCCCTAAATTCTCGGCTAAGATCTTAGCCATGAGTACACCTCTGAAAGGTCTCTAACCCTACTGGTTGTATCTGAAGTGCATTGTCTAAATGTGATACTGACGCTTCTGTGAATCATCTGAATGTGACACTAACTCTGTTATGCATTATTTGAATGCAATAATGTCTCTTTTATACATTATCTGAATGAAATACTGACTTTGTTATGCATTATCTGAATGTAATACTAACTTTACTATACATCATCTGAATGCAATGTTGATACTACTATGCAACACACAAGTTGTAGTTGTCATCATGGTGCAACTGAGGGTTTTATATCTCAGAGCTCACGCACCCCTCTAACTTGTTGGAATACCCTCGGGTGTCTAGGTGAGATCCATAACTACATCGAAAACGTACACTCGACCCTTTTGGTATATGGGGTGAGATCCAGAGCTGTATCGGAAACATACATCCCGCCGACTTACTCCGTCTAGTCTTGGGGCATCTACGCCCAGCTGGAAAAAGAAGTGTCGTGGCACTGATTGGTATATACCAGAACATACTGACAAACAAGACAATCGCCCTACTGTTAAAGTAACTCAGGTGTCCTGACTGTTTCTCGAGTATCACACAAAGGCTAGTTTTATGACATCCTAGCTGTTACTTGTCGCAACGTCCCGAAAAATTGAGGGATTGATTTTAGGGGTTTGTTTTGACTAAAAATAAAAAGGTTGTTCGATGGAGTCCTCACTAATCTTTGTTTAGAGTGTGATTGGATCACCGAAAATGTTGTTATTTTAATAAAATTTTATTTTATAAAAAAATATCAAAATAACCTTTTTGGTCTGCTTACCAGAAAAATAGGTTCGAGAGTCGATTACAAGTGGGGAATGATTAGTACCCCACAACGCCCAAAAATCAGAACCTAATTGATTAATTATTGTCTTTGCAGTAGAACTTATGGATTCATACTTAATTTAATTAATGATCCCCTTTTTACTTAAATAAATATCATGATATTCAAAATCTAAGAGAAAACATTGATGATTCGAACATTTAATTGGGGAAAGTTAAACATCTTATATGAGGAAGAATGGTGTTTCATTCTCAATTAAATCATTCAATCACTAATACCTTCATCGAAAACTTTAATTGATGTTCCAACGTTTCAAACCGTAAGGGAATCACCACCTAATATAAGGTAGAGTGACAATTCCATAGAAGGAAACAAGAAATATCTAATTCATGGCATTTATTTACTTGAAGTTGTACAACAAGCAGATTTTTGTTAATAAGGTTATCGGTACTTTAAGATAAATAGAGAATGTTCGTATATTTAGAAGTATCAATCCTAAACCTCCGAATAGGGTCGAAATTCTCATTTTTACAAGCCTAAATATGGGAATATTTCCCTT